TGTTTTGCCGGGTAAGGTAGAATCCGACATTCATCGGGCGCATCTGAGAAAAATAATAGAAGACAGAGGCAACCGGCACAATCCGGCAAGACTGTACTTGTTTTTCCAAAAAGGCAGAGGCGCCTTTCCCAAAACGAATCACACTCACTCACTTTCAGGGTTTCGCTTTTTGGTTTCCGTATTTTAACCCCCCCAAGCTTTCGACTATTTCAGCAGATCTGAAAAATATCACGGACAACCCAAACACGGCACCGCTTCTCCGACGTCCAGCCTCCCTCAGAAACGGAAAAGCCGCCCCGCTCGCCCGCAAAGCCCGCTTGGCTCGCTGCCTCGAACCGCTCGAACCGCTCGAACCGCTCCGAGGTGGCGGAGCTGAAGGCGGCGGTGCAGCGGCGAAGGCCCAATGCGGCGCCCTGCTGGCAGCGGCTGCTGAGCCACCGCGAGCTCGCCGACTCCGAGGATCGGGCGGGAAATACGTGGTCGGTCCGGTCGGGAAGGCGCCGAACCCGCCGGAGCCGAACCCGTCTCCCCCAAGGTGTGGATTGCCAGGTTTGGTTGGTTCGGTTCGAAAAGAGATTGGAAACCCCACCAAAAAGGGAGGTCCTCCCCACTTTGGCGGGGGGTTTAGAGAGCACATGAAATCAGCTTGCGGCCCATTTGGGGGGCAGCATGGCAGTGGCAGTCATTCCAGAATCCAGACCAACCTGGAGTTTCAAGATATTGCATGGCGACACAGAACTAGCTTTCGAGACATCCATAAGAACCGGCAATGTACTCGACACAATCGTATACACAAATAGCGTAGCTTGAGGGTGGCACGGGCTGCTGCGAGCTCCTTCCCCGAGCCTTCAGGTCCTTGGCGAGATCTTCGAAGGCTTTGCGACGCTGCAGCTGGTGGTCGCTTGGATTGGATGGACAGAGCCCCCCCAAATTTCGATGGACAGGCGCTCAATGTCGAGGTCCGCGGACCCTCAAAGATATGATCATTGTTTGAGGCACTTCGGGGGAAAAAACACATTTCACAGAACACTTCACAAGACACTTCACAAAACACTTCACTTCACTTCACATTCCCTTCAGACCTGAGCTTTCACTTCTTGGTCTCGCTCCAATGTGAGGTCACGCCAGATGCCCGGGACCTGCTGCTCTCGCGGCAGGTGCAAAGCTCCACCACCGAGGAGCGGAAGAAAAGAGCGGAAGCAGTTGGAGGGGACGTGTTGTCCTGGCCTGGCTGGGTCAAAATGAAACCACCAGGAGAGGGACCACCGGTTTTAGTCCTTGGTTCCATTTACCGGGGTGACCCATTTAGGGTACCGATTTTTTGCTCCACAGCCAGATCTCACCGGAATTTGCTTCCAGGCCACGCTGTGGGATTTATAGAACGTATCCCAAATGGATGGACGAAGCTTAGGAAGAAGGAAAAGTCCGAGGCGCACACGGACAGATGTTCTGGAATCAAAAGGCACGGCACTTCTAGGAAGACCGGACCCGCAAAAATTAGCTGCTTGCGACTTCAGAGGATCTGCGTCTTCGCCGATTGGGCTTCACTCGCAGAGAACTGGAGCCAGGCAGGTGGTCACTGGGTGCGCCGGTTTTCTCCATGAGACTGCACAACACTTGCAACTTCCCGTGTCCATCGGCAAAACACGGCCCTGGCTACTCTGCGGACTAACATGGAACCCACAAGGGGGTCCAGGAGGGATTCCTGCAACACTGAAGTATGACGTTTTCTCTGAACTTCTCAGTTATTTGTTGATTTGGCGCAGTCTGTATTTAGGAATCGGACCCCCCAAAACGACAAAACATGACAAGGGTTTCCTTTTCTTTCCCTTTCACACCAACCGAGGGTCCCCTGAAAAAAGGAAAGACACCACACACAATTCTTGAGAAAATCCGGTGTTTCCAACCCAAAGAGTCGTGGGGTCGCGCGTTTTTCTCCTGCCAATCCCCCGGGGGGGCCTCGTTTTTCGAGGCGCCGCGGCGCGGCAGCACGCGGCAGCCCACGCCGCGGAGGCCCTGGGCGCCTCCTGCGCCTCCGCGCTGCTGCAGCAGCTGGAGGCGCGGTTTCGATGGGTCGGTTCGGGTCGCTCGGGTGGATCGGGTTGGTTTCGATCGGCCGCGTTGGAAGCGGAAAATGTAGGGGGTGTTTCGTCTTTGGCCTAGTCTTCACACCCAAAAGCTGCAAGAATCGGCTGGATGTGACATCTTATCCGCTAGAAACTCAGATGCCATCAACACGACCCCCCCCCATAGGTCAAACTGGTCCGGCGTCGCGGACCAAAGCCCTCGAAAACAGGCCAGGCGCTCCAGAGCCTTGCAGGAGATTGATGACCAAAGCCTAGAAAGGGATGTGGGGCAAGGGCAACCAGTCCCATGAGAGCCAAACCGCGCCGACCGGACGAAAGGTGTGGGGTGGGGTTCAAACAATCAAACAAGAAGAAGGGGGAACCCCAAAATGGCTTGGTACGTGGTTGGATTTGGTTTTCCTTTTTTCTTTTTTTCTTCTTCTTTTTCTTCTGTGGATTGCTGCTTGGTGCGAAATCGGGTGGGGAATAAGTTAAAACCAGCCTGTTTAAGGGATTCCAGAAAAAAATCAAGGACACCACCACCTATTGGGATGTTTTTTTTGTTTTTGCAATTTCTCATCCCTGCCGATTTAGAACCAGCAAGTTTCCACTTCGTGCTCAGTGCATGCCCAGGTGGTAGATACGTAGATAATAGAACCGCTCTCATGGGGGTCTTTCACTTGGGTTGGACCGGGACCCCAAAAAGAACAAACATAATACGCGAGTTTCTTGTTGTCAGGTGGAAAACCAAAGAGCCCAGACAAAAGCCTGAGGAAAGGCCAAAGGGTGGTCCACGGGTAGATCTAGAAGGGTCTTGCTGGTATTTGCTTTCCGAGGGGACACATGTAGGGGTTGATTAATACTCCGTTCCAACTGACCATAGGTAACTTTCCCATGTGGGAAACATCATCCTTTTGTGGTATACCCTATTAGGCTATTTAGCATTTTTAAGCCTCGCTAGTCCTTGTTTTGATTGGGGCCTTGTTCATGGGCTGTTAACAATAGGAATCCCTTCTCCTGGTATCTCCTCCATTTCCACCATGAAAGGACTTTCCAGTTGATACAAACGGTGTTGCCATAGAAACAGGGAAGCCCTTTTGCCTGTCCCTTGAGTTTCACTAAACTGGGCTTCGCTATTTGCAAAAACACACAACATGGGTGGATTTCAGGGTTTCCTTGCTGCAAACCACTCGTCCCAACAGAGATTCGATCAGAGACGAGGCATGTTTGTTGGTTCCATGTTTTACTTGTTGTTCTTGTTGGGAGAGCAATACCAAAAACGTTGGTCGCGCATTGCTTTCTCCAGCGGTCCTCAAGTCTTTCCTTATGATCCATTTGACTTTGGTGCGATTGCTGTAGCTGCAGCGGTCCAGCCCCCACAAAGTAGCGGCCTCTGGGTGGGGTATGCGGCAGGATTTGAGGCCAGACCATTTCGTTGCACTTTGGATCGATGCCTGGAAGGTCAGTTGTAGCTCTTTGTTGCCTCTTTCTGGTTCGCATTTTTTGGGTTTTACATGTGCTGGCGTTTGCTTCTGGATGTTGGTCGCCTGGCCCTGACTTTCTGGTTCTGGTTTTGTTTGCTTTCAGCCAGGTGCCCGAGGCCGCGGAGGAGCGCTGAGGGCGCAGAGGGCGTCAGCCCGATGCCCACAAAATTCCGGGCTTGAAAGGTTCCCGCATGTTTTGAGAGAGCGCCATGGTCACCTAGGTCCCCCGAAAAAGCGGCGACATGTCCTTAACTCAGCCGAATTCTAGAGTCCTCTGCAAGAAATTGAACTCTTCTGGGCCAGAATTGGGGTTCAGGAATCGATGCCATGCCTTACTGCACTCAGTGTTTGCTCTGCCAAGCCACTAAACTAGTCTATTTGACGAGTGTTTTGTTTGATAGAACTTGGTGTTCTCCCTTGGTTTCAGCCTTTGTTCTGCACAGTTTCCCTGGCTCCCGGACTCTTTTTACGCAAGCTCCATATACTTCTCCCGTTTTTGCCCTTGGTTCCGAGGTGAGAAAAAGAGGTTCCAAGGGAAAAAAAGAGGGTCAAGGTGAAAAGAAGGTTCCAAGGTGAAAAACAGGTTACCTCGGCGGTTTCGACGTCTCCCTGGCATCTTGCATCTGGTGCCCGATACATCGAGCACCAGGCGCGGGGGGACCCCCGTGGACTTAGGACCTGCTCTTCCAGCTCCGGGAGGACCTGGCCGCGGTGCAGGCGGAGCTGCCTCACCTGAAGGCGGCCCTGCGGCAGCAGGCCGGCGACTCGCGACGAAGGGACGAAGAGACCAGACGGCATATGGCTATGGCTCAAAAACCGGTACCAAAATGGGTTGCCCTGTTCAGTGGAAACATGGACCAAAAGCTGCGGTTTGCCCCTCCTGTTTAGTTTTGAGCCACACCCATATGGCTGTGGTGGTCAAAACCCATGGGATCCCATTTTGGTGGGTAGATGAATTCACCACCCATTTTAGAGCCTATTTTAGTTGGGATTGGGATGTTCACTGGGGGTACGGGCTTTTGACCCATGGCCATGAGGTGCCATGGTTAGTATTTGGGTTGCCCTTGGGATGTTGTTTACCAGGGAGCGGGATCCTTGATGAAAATGATTCCTGTTCAGGGAACCATGACCATAGGCCAGATCAGTTACTTGCCGAAGTCTTTGGGCAGGCTTCGCTCCAGCTTGCTATACGTGTTGCATTAGATGCGAGAGAGGCACTAATCCTCTGCGCTCCGCACGCAGCGTAGGTTATGCGGCATATCGATGCAGTGGAGGTGCCGAAGGGTCACTACAGCAGCTTGGTGAAGAAAAGGCAAGGGAAGTGTCAGCGCCAACCAGTGAAGAATTCTCATGTGAGGACAATCTTTGTCCTCTGCCATTGATTAGACCTCAACCGCCAGGAACCTGCAGTCATTTTGGCTGAAATGACAAAGGCAGAAGCTTTTGCCGCATGACAGAGTTAAAGGTCACTTCGAAGAAAGGCACTGGCTTCTACACGCGGGCGGCCGCGACCTTTCTCCGTGGAACCGATGACAAGGCGCCGGTGCCGTCGATCACGTTGAGTGGCACGGGGCCTGCCGCCGCCACTGCCGCCGAGACGGCGAATGCGATCCAGAAGCAGGGCCTGGCCAGCATCACGCGCGTTGAGACGGGTTACCCCGAGGTCGGCAGCCAGAGCGTGGCCAGATTAGCGGTGACTCTCACGGCCCCCTGGCCGTATCCAGATGCCAGCAGCTACAGCAACTTCGATGAGATCGTGGTGGAGAGCTACGCGCTTGACCACGAGATCAGCTTTGCCAAAGGCATCCTGGAAGGCTCCATCGAGTTGACGCTGCGTGCTGTGCGGGAGGGCGTGAGCCACGTGGTGCTGGACAGCCGATCCCTGAGCATCACCAAGGTCACGGGCGCGGACGGCGCGGCGCTCGACTTCGACGTCGGTAGCAAGGGTCGAAGATCCGAGGCGCTGGGTGAGGCACTGGACGTGCAGCTGGGAAAAGCTCTGGACGCTGGAGACAGCGCGGTGGTGCGCATCGCCTACTCCACGGCGCCGGATGCCGTGGCCATACAGTTCCTATCGCCGCAGCAGACCCAGGGGAAGCAGCACCCCTACTTGTTCACCCAGTGTCAGGCCATCCATGCGCGGTGCCTCATGCCGTGCCAAGACACGCCAGGTGTCAAGAGCCGGTACACGGCCAAGCTAACAGTGCCTGCTCCGCTGACCGCTTTGATGTCAGCTGTGCCGGATGATGCGGAACCTAAAGAGGCAGAGGGCAAGCGCTGCTTCTCCTTCACCCAGAAGGTTCCCATCCCCTCGTACCTCTTGGCCATTGCCTGTGGCAACCTCGTCGCGCGACGAATCGGTCCGCGCAGCCACGTTTGGAGTGAGCCAGAAGCGATCGAGGCGTGTGCCTTCGAGTTTACGGATACCGAGAAGTTCTTGAGCATCGGAGAGAAGCTCTGGGGTGAGTACTTCTGGGGCATCTACGACCTCCTGGTGCTGCCGCCCTCGTTTCCCTACGGCGGCATGGAAAACCCGTGCCTCACCTTCGTCACTCCCACGCTCTTGGCGGGGGACAAGTCCCTTGCGGCCACCGTGGCCCACGAGGTGACGCACAGCTGGTTCGGGAATCTCTGCACCAACCGGAGCTGGGAATGCTTCTGGCTGAGCCTTGATTGCCATTGGCTTGGATCTTTAGACTTTTTTTTCTTTGCTTTTTGGCTGAAATCCATGGGGTTTTCCATGAAACCCACAAGAAGTGGTCAACTTTTTGCGGAGGGGTCGTTGCATCTTCAAGGAACGAGGGCTTTACCAAGTTCGGGGAGCACCGGATCATGGGAACCATCAATGGCCCAGACTACGAGCAGCTGCTGGTGAGGCAAGCCATGGTGGAGCTGGCGGGAGATGTGGCACACTTTGGTCCGGGCCACGAGTTCACGAAGCTCTGCCCCCAGTTGAAGGGAGTGGATCCAGATGATGCCTTCAGCCGAGTGCCTTATATGAAAGGTGCATCGCTTTTACTGCATCTTGAGAAGTTAGTGGGGAAGGACCGCTTCGAAGCCTATCTCAAAGCTCACGTTGAGCGCTTTGCTGGAGAATGCCTAGATCAGGATGACTTCAAGTCTTTCTTCATGAAGCATTTCTCCGGTGACCCGGCGGTGCAGAATGTGGATTGGCAGAGGTGGTTTTACGGATGTGGAATGCCTGAGATGCCAGTTGTCCACTCTGTTCTGGCCGAAAAGGTGGACCTCCTCTCCTCCTCTCTGATCGGTGGCTACGAGGGGGCGGCGGCCGATCTGGAGGGCTGGTTCCCCGCGCAGACCGAGCTGCTGCTGGAGCGCCTCGCGGATCACGTGAAATCTGGCGATGCCCAGGTGAGTCACAAGCAACACCGAGTCGGGGAATTGGAAGGTCAGGGACAATCAATCCCCTTGCCATAATTAATTTGTTGGAAAAGGCAGATCTCATCCGCCTTTTCCATTTCTTTTTCTTTGCATGGTCCTGAGCCAGTTTGTAGAAGGGACAACGTTCACTTGCTTGCGGATCTCCGCCTTTTCCGTTTCATTTTCTTTGCATGGTCCTGGGAAAATCGACCATTCTTGTACCATTCATGTATGTGCTCCATTTTTTGGTACCGGGTTTCCTTCCCGCCGCAGGTGAGGTCCGAGATGCGGGGCCGCCTGGACGGCTGGAGCGCGGCCTACGGCTTCGACCGGACGAAGAACGCGGAGCTACGCTTCCGCTGGCTGAAGCTGGCGCTGGCCTGCGGGGACGACTCCAGGGCCGAGGCGGCCATCCAGATGGCGCAGGAGGTGGGGCTATGAAAACCAGGAGGTGGTGCGCAGGAGGTGGGCGCAGGAGGTGGGCAGGAGGTGGTAATGTTGACCTTTTAATATGGGTGTGGTTTACTCAATATGAAACAGGGGCAAACCGCAGGCTTTGGTTTCCATGCTTCCTCCATTTCGGTACCGGTTTTTATTGAGCCACGGCCATATGGGGGTGTTCCCCTCCAAAAGTGGTCTGAATCCCCACGAAAGCCGGGGACACCCCCATACCAATAAACAGGGGTTTATATAAATCCGGACATCAGATGAAGCTTTTTGTCAGGGAGAATCCCCTGGCCACAAATGCCTGGTCTAGAACCAAATTTTAGCGGTTGGATTGGGAGGTTCCCCTGGGGGTTAGATTCTGCGGATTTCCGCCTTCCCCCTGGCCATAGCTGCGAGAGCCAGGGCTTCATTCCCCAACCCCTCACCTCCCGAGCGACTGTTTCGGAAGCACTTGGCCGCCTTAGTTCTTGAAGCATGGTTCTGGGGATCGGGAGGTTCACTGGGGTACGATTCGGATTTTGACCCATGGCCATAAGTAGCTGCGGATCTCCGCCTTCCTAGTTCTTGAAGCATGGTTCTGGGATTACTGCAGGGGTTGATTCCCCATGCTTTTTAACCATCGTTCTTTTCAAACACTGGCCGTTTTCCCTGGGATTCCGGAGGTTTTCTTGAAAGAAGGATCCCTAGAAAGAATGGAATTGGAAGGTCCCCTAGAATTAAGACCATTCTACTGCCGAATCGGTTTTGATGACTCCAGGTGGGCCGCATGAAGTTCACCCGGCCCCTCTACCGCGCGCTGATGGCGGCGCCCGGTCTGCTGCCCAGGGCCAAAGAGGCCTTCGAGCGTGCGAAGCCGAGCTACCACCCCATCACCGCGAAGATGCTGGTGCAGGACTTCGCCAAAGCCGAAGCGTGAGTAGTGAGCGGATTTGGCTTCCAAGTATGAAGCTAGAAAGCGATAAAAAAAAAAAAAAAACAGGAAGAAGAAGAAGAAGAAGAAGAAGAAGAAGAAGAAGAAGAAGAAGAAGAAGAAAGCGCGGCGCTGGTGCATGGTCGAAGAGTTGATGGTTTGCAATGGTGGCTTCTGTGGCGGTATTCTGGTCCTGCGCTACTTGCCCCCCACCCCCCCGATAGGCATCGGCATGTTCCTGCCCATGTGAGGGAATGAGAGCACTTGTTGAGATATCCGGGCGATGCCTTCCCTTTTCCCTTTGCTGTGCGAGGGCTTTCACGAGCCATCAGCCCAGGTAAGTTCATGGACGTGCTGTCCTGGCTGAGTCCAGGCATTGTGCCCTACTTGGCCCAGGGCCCAGGGCAGATTTGGAGAGCCTCAGCCCATTCTGCTTGCCTCAGCCGCCTCGGCCCATAGATCCATGCCCAGCGAAGGTGCACATGTCCGAAAGTGTGGCAACGCATTTGTCGCTGTGAAAGCACCTGACTCCAGAGATGTGGCTGCTGGCCGAAGAGCCGAACCCATGTTCACCTCGCTTCATGTCCTTGGTCTCTTGTGCATCCATCAAAGATATGGAAGATAAAGGCTTGCCGTGAAATGGGCGATGCCAAAGCGGGATGGTGCCGAGCTACAGCGATGGCTGCTGCTGCTAGGAGCCGCACGTGGCGTTGCACAAAGGGAATGGCGTCCAAAGGCTCAGGGAAACGGGCGATGCCTTTCCCCCTCATCGGTCTCCTAATTGGTGCTGAGAAGCCACCACTCCCAGGTCAGGTTTGCTTTTCTTTTTGGCTCTGGCGGTCCCACGGCATCACTATGGACGAGCACTCACGTCAGGAGCTGCCGCCACCTTCTTCATCTTTGCCCCTCGGGGCTTGCTGGTGGGAGTTGCGGTGCTGGCGCTGCTCGGGATCCGCTGCCCCCGACGCCTGCTGAGCCCGGGAGCACCTTGGTCTCATTGGATACTTGAGGCCGTCTGGGTCGCGGCCGTCTGGGTCGCTGACTGCTTATGAGAACGTGCATGATGCAAATGTAAAGAGGGGCATTCTTCAGGACTGCACAATGACAAATGGGTGTCTCCTGGCTGGAAACAGTACATGCTCGGGCGAAATGGGGTTGAGCTACTGTGCATGGACGAAATCCTGCGCCACCTAAAGAAACTATGAACAACCAATGATTGTTGGTATTTCCAGGTGAATCGAGTGATTCAGGGGTTTCTTAGGTGCTGCTGTGGATGGATGTCGCATCCATGCGAGGACTCCGCGGATGTGGACGAGGACTTGGAGGTGTCGCGTGAGTCCCCGGACTGCGACTGGGGCCCGGCGCTGGTGTTGGTCTTCGAAGCGCGGGACCCGTTGACCGGGGCTCTGCAGCTGAGGATCGACAAGGAGGAAAGTTCGTGATCGGACGGTTTCGAGGGAGTCGATGAGTGAGTCGGAAGAGTCGAGTTGAAGCAAGCAGTTCCATTTTTTTCCGGAGTTTAAAATACAAGGCTTATGGTTCTCAAGTGAGATTCTTCATGGATTTATCAACATGGACGCTTCTCATGCCATCATTTGACATCCAGAGGGGTTTTGAAGCGGAAGGTCCGGCTGCCCCCCAATGGCGCCGGCGTTGCATGTGAGGACTCGGAGGTTTCCTGGACGCTGGTGGAGACGCAGCTCGCGACTCGCACGGAGCACTCAGAGAGAGCCCAGCCCAAGCCCTTTTTTTCTCTGGGTGACATTTTGCAGGGAGGGGTATGTTTAAAGTTGTTTTCTTCTCGCTTCTGGCTTTTCGGCTTCTTGGCTTCTTGTTTGCAGTACCCCCCCCCCCCCCGTCCACTGGCATGGTTTCCAACGAGGGTCCTTTTTTTAAGGAAAATGGAAAATCGTCTTCCGGGACCCCTTAGTCAGGTTCCATGTTAGACAGGAGGGTACGTGGCAACATGTTTTTCTCGCAATTTCCCTTGGTTTTGCGCTCCGAATGAGAAACTCAAAGACGTCTTGTGGCTTGCTTGCGCCGTGTTTTCAGATCTGCACAGCTTGGCCGCACATGGCCGGCCTCAGCACCGGTGCTCGACGCTGAGGTCCCCGGGGAACGGCGCCGCGCGCCGCTCCGGGAGCTGCTGGGGCGGCTGAATGAGGCGGGGCTCGCCTACCGCCTGGGGGGGTCGCTGAACGGCGAGTTCATCTTTTGCGCCTGGGATCGAAGTGCGACGGTCACGAGCCTTCGCTCTTCTCTCCACTTCTCCCTCTTAACTTTTTGCCAAATGGGTTTTCCATTGAGCCACCCAAAGCTAAGCTTTTAGCAGGGGAGCAGAAAGCAACTGAGTTTTGGTCCCCTCTTTCCCCCTTCTCCTTCTCCTTCCCTCGACCCGCTTTGCTCTTAGCTGGTTGAGAAGGATGGGTGTCTCGAGCTGTCCGCCTTTGATCCTTTGGAGAGGCCTTTAGCGTGCACTGGTTGGCCCTTCGTCAGAGAAGTTGCAGACCTGGGACCCGGTGGTTGATACAAACTGACCCGGTGGTTTACTTGAAGTTTACCAGGACAGTCATCATTCACAACTGCAAGGGTTTCTGTGAAAGGAATCCGCTAAAGGGAGTTTGGATGAGTCTTGATCATGGCATGACCTTCAAAGTCTTCCAAGGTGGGATATATAAACGCAGACTGTTCGCAGTTTCCGAACAAAAAGAGCTCGAAGTTCATCCACCCACCCATCCGCTGTTGCTGGTCCGCTCTCCACTAAAGTTGTGCAACTCTGTTTCAGCCAAGGTATGGTCCGCCTGCCGGAGACCACGGCCAAAGCGAACCTGACCTTTTCTCCTCTTGAGCCTCAGCTGCGAACCTTTTTCTTGCTTCGGGAATCCCGCCACCGGTGGTGTCTGTTAACCAACTCACACACTTCTGTATCTTCACAAAAGACATGTTTGAACACAACTCCGCTTCTTCACTCCACTCAAGTCCCAAGCTTCCACTTGCTTAAGAATACTTTATATTTTCCCTTCTATCACTACTGGAAATTACTTTTTTGTTTTTTTTCTTCGGGGGAGGGGGGGGCAAAAAAAACGCACATGGAAGTAACCGCCACCCCCAGGCGCCGTTGTTCTGTCCTACTGGAGAGCGCCGAAATCCGCGCGAGGACCTGGAGCTGGACCCCTGGCGGGCCCAGAAGTACGCGCTGGAGCTGGGCATGCCGCTGGCCAAGCGCTGCCAGGGCCTCAACTTGCGGGAGCTGACCACCTGCGAGTCCTTCGACTCCCGCATGGGCGAGCTCGCCCAGGTTCCGGAGGCGCGAGAAGACGGGGGACTCGAGGGACCCGAGGGACGCGTGGCGCGAAGGAGAAGCTTCCGGTTCTGGGTTCACCATCTTTTGTCGGTTTTCATTGTGACTCATATGGCTGTGGTGGTCAAAACCGTTTTGGGGTCCCAGTTTGGTGGGTAGGTGGTGAATTCACTCACCACCCATCTTAGTCGGGATTTTAGTGGTTGGACTGGGATGTTCACCAGGGGTACGATTTGGATTTTGACCCATGGCCAAGATGAGTGGCGTGACAAGGACTGGAAAGGTCAAGGACTGTGAGGGCAGGAAAGTCGTTCTTCGGTTGGGTGAAGGATCTTATGACTTCAGGTTCCTGAGCTCCAGTTACAATGAAGAAGGAGTAGTGTTGGAGACCTTTGAATTCTGACTTGAGCACCAGAATCCAGAATCCAGTGAAGAGAACACCTAATGCAGAGCTCCTCTTCAACACAAGGCTTTGAAGCAGTTTGCTCGCTGGGGCGGGTTTTGCTTCTCGGCCAGGCCTTGGAGGATGTCTGGGAGGGCCTGCACATGCGCTTCTTCCCCGGCATCCCCAGCCGCGTCTTCCGGCACGTGCCGCTGGTGTCCACTGAGGGGTCGGACCCCTCCGTGGCCGCGATGCCCACCATCCTGCCGCCGTCCGAGCGGCTCAGGATGCTGTTGACGCTGATCGGCGACGAGCCTGGGCCAAGGCTTCGCTTGGGTGGGGGGCTGCATTACTCACGAACAGCCCCAAAGTTATATGTATGTATATGTACACGAGTGTTAGTCACGTGTTCGAGGTTGTGGTGGTAGAGATCAACTCGGAAGAGCTTGTCACTGCCCCAATTTTGGGTGACCTTTCAGAGCCAGCTCCGAAACAAGTGACCGGCTCCCTCTCTCATGGCTCCGCTTTTTGCCAGTCCTCCAAGGATCTGCCTGGTGCCATGGGCCACATGGGTCCCGGCTTCAAGCTGGACCAGTGGAAGAAGCCCAAGTGCTGCAACTGCCTGCGGCGCACCTTCCGGAACTTCGGCGCACGCCGCGCCGCGAACACCCTGAGCCTGTTGGACAACCTCGGGGAGTTCCCGAAGGCGTTCTCCCTCTACTTCCTCATGCAGGACCGCGGCCTTGTCGAGTGCTCGCAAGTAGAGCCACACTCAAAACGGCAAACCGGGTAGACGGTAGAGTAGTAAGGGGAGTACTCCCCTTGCCATAAATAAACGGGTGCCATAAAGCCGCCTGGGTAATCCCCTTGCCGTATATGGGCACCACAAAGCTGCCTTTTTAGTTCTTGAAGCATGGCTCTGGGTCTATTTTAGTACATACCGAGAGGTGCTGACCATCGACATAACGAGAGTCCCAGGACCCTCGGGATCAGGCGTACCAGAACCTGCGGCTGAAGTTTGGCCGCCCAGCCTCGGCGCTGTTCCAAAGCGGGCTGCTGTCTGGGGTGGTAGACTCTCGGAAGCGAGAGGCAGAATCAGATTGCTCAGGCTTATCATTTTTTGATAGATATTCTCTGGGCAAACTTTATTGGGTTGCATTGTCCAGGGGTTCGACTGTATTCCTTCCCTCTGCCAGGCACGACAACTGGAAGAACTCAATGCGCCACATTGATATTACATAGACTTGTATAAGGTGCATTCATTGAAGTGCACACCTTGGACATCTTGGTTTATGTTTCCATGAATCCTGCGGTTTCCATTCTTCATTCGTCGCCTATGCCATTGGAGGGTATCTCTCAACCGACTCGAGGACAAAAACCTGCCGACGTTGCTGCAGCTCTACTTCGGGCAACAGATTGGCTCCTCAGACGCCAATCGTCGGCTCGCTTCCCAACAAACACCGCGGAAACTTTGCCGTGGGTTCGGGGTTCTACTTTTCGACCAGGGTAGGCTTAAACCCGGTGGTTCATTCTTCCCAAAAGAAACAAAAACCTAAGTTTACGTCTACCCTAGTCAAAAAGGGGAACTTTGCGTTAGATTTTGGTTGCGGCAAGGCTTCTACTTCGCCTTTCTGCAGCACCTCTTCAGCTACGGCTTCGCGCTCACGGTGCTGCTCGCGCCCTTGCTGGCGGTCTACAGCGTCGACTGGGCGCAGCATTTGGTTCGCGCCATGAACACGGAGGCTGAGGACGCTGGGGCAGATGGACGACATCCGAAGCCATGCGAAAACCATGGTTTGTTGGCAGGGTTCTACTTTTTGACTACCCCAAGGTAGGCTTAAACCCAGGGGTTTTGCTTTTAGGGAAATCAACCACCCTGGATTTAGCTCTTTTTGAGGGTAGTCAAAAGGTAGAACCCTGATTGTTCGGGTGTGGGTCAAAATTAAACCACCAGGATATGGACTACCTGTTTTAGTCACGGGTTCCATTTCCCAGGGTTCCATTTTGGGTACCCAAAATTTGCCCACCGCCGTTTGTTGGTATTCACGTTGGGGAACTCAGAAACCAGCCTTTCCGCACGATGTTGCGCTCGCAGCGGATCTCGCGAAGCTTTTCTCCTTCCGTTTTGGTTTCTAAGCGTGGCCTTGCCGGCCGACAGCCGGCCGACAGCCGGGCAGAAGGGCAGCGTGGCCAGGACAAGGCGACGGTCATGTACCTCGTGGACGAGATGGTCTCGGAGATCACCGACGCGGAGGCCTCCCGGAGCCGCTGGCCCCTGTGGCAGCGGACTCAGACGGACGCGAGAGTTTTGGCGAAAAGGCGAAGGCGCTACCGGGAAATGCTTTTTTATGGACAACTCAGGTGGGGCTGGTGTTTCTTTTTGCTTCTTTTTGTTTTTCTTCTGCAAGTATTGCCATTGAATGCAAAACCCAGGTCACTCCTTGTGGGTCTCACCACCACTGTCTGGGGGCAATGCGTCATTGAGTCGTGGCACCGCCAGGAGCAACCGTGCAAGACTCACAAGTGCGCTTGTCGCATTTGTTTGCCATGTTTGTTCTCAAAGGAACCGGTTTCTTTGAGACTGTCTCAGATGCAACATGCTGGTTCTTTTAGAATAATATTGCTTCTCTTGATTTTTGTTGACAGCATTGTAAAAGCCTACTTTGCGTCGTTCAATGCAGATTTTGTTTTGACGTTTTTTTTTTGTAGATCAAGGTTAAACAGACCCGCGCGCCGCGGCTCGCCGCGCGGCAGGAGCGGCGCCTGGCGCGGCAGTGGGGCTGCCGGCCGCTGCGGCCCACGTTTTCGCGGCCGAGCTTCCGCGGGCGGCTGGCGGTGAGCCGCGTGGACGGGCGCCTGGTGCAGGTGCACCGCAACAGGCGGCTGGGCTGGGGGGGGGGGGGCCGGAGAGGGGCGCTGGGGGTGGGGGTGAGTTGGTGGGTGGGTTGGTGGTGGGGGTTGGGGGTTGGTGGGGGGTGGGGGTTGGGGTTGCGGGTGGGGTTGGTAGGGGTTTTGTGGAGTTTGTGGGGGTTGGTGGGGTGGTGGGGGTGTGGGGGACACCTGGGGCTTGGACACTTTGATGGTCCATTGGACCCACAAGTTAAGCTTTCGGGGTCAACAGCAACCAATGGGTGGTTTTCAGAGACTTGCTGGGCCGCTTTGGCGATGCTTCACGGATTTGTTTGACGTGCCAAAGTCACAAGTCTGTCGCCTCCGTCACACACCAGCCGCCTGGGGATTTGTGCCAAACTCATGTGTTACACCAGTGGCAGAAGCGGTAGACTGGTGGACTTACAAGGTTCCTCTTTATATGTGTGTGCGTGCGTGTTGAGGGTGTCCTTTCCACCTTGGTTTGAAGCGGAGCCAAAGGGGAAACAGCATTCGTCGGGGTCCCTATTTTGACACACACACACACACACACGAACACAACTTGATTGAAACAAAACACTTTTGTGACAGCAACCATGGGTTGCAGTCCACCTGGTGCAAAAGATGGTACCCCAGCCAGGTATATCGGGTAGGCGATGGTCGCATGGGGCTTTCTGGCAGTTGACCGGGCCGAAACGTGATTTGCTATTTGATTCGCACAACCGGAGGCAGGTGCTCAAGCCGGGCAACATTTGGGTCTGACTTCTTTTCGGGAACCCTCTGTTGGTTCCTCCAACATGATTTTGGGGGGTCCCCTAAGAAAGGACACACCCGTCATATAATACCACGAGCCAACAGAGTTGAAGACATTATTGCCATGTCTGGCGAGAACTCTGGAAGGCGCAGTTGTACTCTTGTGTGACGGCAGGCGCTTGTTCCAGGCGCGCGTCATTGCAGCCGCTAGCCAGCACCATGAAGGGAGGTGTTCTTTTGATGCCGGTCTCATCTTGCAGACAGCTTCAAATAGCAAAGGGCAGCATATTAAAGGTGATTCAAAATCACAACCAAATCACATGTTAGGACGTAATTCAGGCCGCATCATTCATCTTTGGAGGTGAACTGCCGTGATATACGCCTTTACACGTGGTTGCGTATATTTGTGTGTGAAGACGGGAAGCAGCGTATTCTTGTTGATGTCCCTTTAGGTAGAAATACCTGTCCAGTTTCACGGTCAAGCAGGAGTTGAATTCTTGGCTTCCACAAACACATATGCCATTCAGGAGAAACAACTCTTTCTGTTTCAGAAAATGGCCCAACCGTCTCATGTTCGATTCATCTCAGGTGGGTGGGTAAAAAAGAGTGAAAAGAAATGTTATTTAAAGTAAACTTTCTACCTCAGAAGGTGCTAGTCCTGCAATAAGTTGTTTTTCGTGCTAGTAGAGTAAGCCAAGTAAGTATACCTTATTCAAGCATTGGATGGGACCATTCTCAAGGCCTACAGTTTTATTTTTCTTACCGATAACGAACAAGTACCCCCAAAACAGGTGGTTTTTGTTGGTGTCCCTAGAAAAATCCAACTTCGGTGGTCCTTGTGGTTTCCCGGAAAGAAAAAACACATGAAAAGGCGACGTTTCTTGTTTTTTTTCAGAGAGAGCTGAGGTGAACCTCTGCTTCCTCTGCATCTGGGCCTTGGTCTTCACGGTGCTGGGGGCCATCTTCCTACGCAACGACCAGGTGCAGGTGGCGACGGAGGACTACGCCTCGCTGGGCGCCGTGTTCTCGGTGGCACTCTGGCAAAAAGGGGGGGGGAGAGGGCGGGCGTCTCGGGGCTAGTGGCCCTCAGAGTGGATTCTTCTTGGGATTGGGGAGGTCCTTTTGACAGTTTGGTTTTGAATGTTCAGGGTGCAGTCAGCATTCTGAACAGGAATGGCGTTTCGTTCATGTTCGTTCGGCTGAGTACTGGGCATGCCTCTGAAATTCACCAGACTCGTCCCTTTTTCGACCTTGGGCAAAAGCCTTCAAAGTGAGGAAAGTGAGTGAATGATCGTCAACTGCGAATGCCGTGAAAAGTACCTCGCCGCTGAAACCAATTTCCAAAAACAAACATGACATCACAACCTCTTTGGTGCATTTTGCTTGGATGTCAGGAATTGTTCACTTTTTGCCAACAAATGGGTTTTCCATCAAACCACTAAAAGTTAAAGGTTCAGCAGTGGAGCAGATTTCGCAACCATGGCCTCACACAACGCGTCTTGGAACGCGTATTCCGCGCGCATCCGAGTCGAGTGTGCTGCTCTACCACCTCTTCCGCATCGTGGCTCACTGCCTCACGGAGGCGGAGAATCACCGGGAGGAGGAGCTGCTCGGCACCGGGATTGAGATCTGGGTGAATTATGACGACCTCACACGAGCTTACCCGAAAAATGGTGGTTTATGTCATGTGGGGAATGGCCCAACCACCTTATGGGAACGAAATCTGTGGATGGAAACCCAAATTGAAACCATGGGATTTCATGGTTTGTCGGTATTGACAGTGGAATCATCATTCCAGGGTTTCTTAGGTGGTGCAGGATTTCGTCCATCCATAGTAGGGATTGCTGTGGGTCAAAACTGTTTTGGGATCCCATTTTGGTTGGTAGGTGCACCAGTTTAGAACCTATCTTAGTGGGGATTGGGATGTTCACTGGGGTTACGATTTGGATTTTGACCCATGGGCATTGAAACCAGGCACGGAACGACCAGATGAGACTTCAAGCACCAAATGGGAACACATACCCATGAGAAGGCTGAAAGGAGAGGTCACGGTTTTGCTCTCTTTTCGGTTGCACCGAGTTCCTGGGAGACGTCCATCCTGGTGAAGAAGTGGGCCTTGACGGTCATCGTGCAATGTGGCTTTGAGGGCAAGACAGGGCTTTTGGGCAAACCCGGGTTGCCCATCGGCTTGGTTTGTGTTGCTCCAAAGCCATGGGTGCCGCCATAACGCCGCCGCTTTGGGTTCTTTACGGGGTTTCTGGGGATCGGCCATTTTTTGAGAATTCCCGAATTGGCTGGTTGGTACTGACCGAGCCGCAGCAAAGAAGCCTTGGCTTCTGCCGCGTAGGTTGGGCCACGATGCATTTGCTGTTCATCCGGCCCTTCCTGTGGCCCTGCGCGTATGGAGATGCCGCGGTGCGCCAGAGGCTGGACATCGAGCACTGCGCCTTCTGGGACCAGGAGGGACATCGTGCGAGAGATGCGAATGAGATCCCCGAAACACTCCGGCCAAGTGGTTTGTTTTGTTTGGAGACCAGAAGCTGGGTTCATTCCCACCAATGAGAACTGGTGGTTTCCTTTGAGGGGACCAAAGCCTGGGACCATTCCCACATTTTTTCTACTTATCGCAGCAGCAAGATAGCGAGCGAGCTGGGAGTGATGGCCCGTCAGTGCGCAGCGGCTTCAGGAGTGCTGCGACCAGGTCATTCGCAGCAACCACCAGGCAGGATGGCGAGGAAGGGAAATGAACATGAGGAGAAACAAAGCTTTGGCGAGGACATAATCGTTTTGTTATATGACTCCGCTGTGAAGTCTTGGTGTAAAGGGAACGCCTGTATACTCATCACTGCCAGACACTTGGCACACAACCAGAAAGCACCATTGCTGACCCAGACTCATGAGCATATCTCAGCATGCTGTCTCTGTCATGTGCGAACTGTGGCCGGCTTGACCAGATTGCCAGCATGTCAGATTCTAAAGAATTGAGCACCTTCACAGCACCAACCTATTCTTCGGGAGAGACAACCCGAGGCCCTTGTTTGCTTGCTTCCCCCGCCTCATTTGGGTGTGCCTTGTCAAAGGCCACACCCATTTTTCTTTGAGGGGGGGAGGGGGGGGGGGGTTTGAAATTGGAAAGAACAGCCACACTCCCTCAAACTATCATGGAAGCTCCCAGAAGGCCTTTGTAAATGGGTCATGTCTTCCATTTCGGGGTCCGTTCGGGAGCTTCCATGTTCTGGGGGGAGGCTACCTTTTTCTTGCGGGGGGGGGGGGGGAAGAGGGATTCCAAGCTAAAAGACGAGCGAAGCGCTCCCCGATTTTCAGGTGCTGAGCTTCGCGGAGATCCGGGGGGAGGCCGTGGTGCGCCACACCCGGCAGTTCATCGCCGGATGGCTGGCGCCCGGGCGGTTTCCGCACCGGAGGGGTCCGAATTTTTGTGGGGAATGATGAAAGAATTTAGGCATGATTTTGGCATTTGGCGCTTTTTGGGAATGATTTCGGGCCGGTTTCCCCACCGTAGTAAAGGGAACCCTTTCAGGTTGATTCGGGACCAAGTAAAAAGCAAAAACAGAGGTGGGTGGTGGTCGCAGCATGTGGATGGTTTCACGAAATCTGCGGAGCTCGCGAAGTCCACCGTTCTGAAACCTAACGCTTTCGGATTCGATTTCCCAGAATAAAATGCCAACAACGGTTTGTGAAATTTCGTGCTGCGAACGGAGTCCGTGACCCCTACACCGAGAGGGGAAAAAAAAGCGGTCGTGAATCAACCTGAAAGGATCCCCTCAAAATCAATAAAGCGACCGTATTGCAGATGAACCACAATCAAAGTTATAGTTGATGAAGCTTGGAGGGGTGGGGGGGAGTCCCAAGCGTAGTAGGCGCCGCCGGTCCCTCCTACATGGTTTTGGCTGACTTAACTATGACCCAGATGATCTTGCAGTTGATTAGGGGTGTAGGCTTAAGGGAAAGGTAGGACCCTGACTGGGGCCTTAAGCTGCTGTTTTTGCAGATTGTTCCGCTTGAGACGGCAAGCTCTTTCCCTTGCGCGCAAGGTTTGCGTGAATTGAGACCTGTGCTGTTTTGCTACCGGAGTTGACGTTCTTCGACTCGAAACCTTTCTCTCGAAAGTTGCGGCTCGAAGACCCAAGAGCTGAGGTGAGCCACAAGGAAAACCGATTCGGGTAGGGGCACGTTACTGAGGGATAACCCCAGGCATGAATTGGTGCCTCCGTCGCCTTGTGATCATTTCTTACATGGCTGTTGGGGATCGACCATCATACCGGTTGTGACGACATCAGGTGTCCAACATCTTCCTGTTGAGAGCTGTGCCGTTTTCCTGCGATTTGGGCGGTTCCCAAGAGCTGAACGCCTCAGGTGTCCAACATAATCCTGTGAGCCCTTTGGCCGTTTTGCCGCCTCCCATGCTCCAAGTGGCGGTTAAGTGCTGAGGTCTCCAAGATCTTCCTGCACAACTTGCTGAAATGGATCGTGCCGCGGCTCTTCGGCTTCCTCTGCACCCGCGGGCTGTACCCGCTGCTGGCCGTGGACTTTGCGGAGGACCTGCTCACGGACTTGGCGCTCCAAGCTGAAGCCGGGGAGTTCTTGGGGATGGAGGGAGCGGGCGTTGGTTGCAACCCATGGGCTTGAAGAGAGGCGTTGGTAGACTTGGACTGTTTCTCATCCCTCCGGCAATTCAAAATCAGCCGCCCTTGAAGAGAAGGACTCTTTGTTTACCCAACTTAAGTGAATCAATGTATTCATCCCATACTTCCAACCACCAGCAGGTGGTGGCTGCTCTTCCGATTCATGTGAAGTTTTTGGAGCCCATCAAAGACTTTTTTTTTTGATGCTCCCGTCAAATCATGCGTTTGTTGGATTTTTATATCCCAGGCCATGTCGGACAACGAGCACGGCCGGCGCCGAGTGGGCCGCAGCCGGCTCCGGCGCTGCCTCTGCCCTCGCCGGCCCCGGTACCATCGGAGCTACACGGATTTGGCCGCAGACGTAGGCGACGACACTTGGGGGGGGGGGGGGGGGGGGGGGGGGTGGGATGGGGTGGGGTGGGGTGGGTTGGGTTGGGGTTTGGGGTGTGGTGTGGGGGGGTGGGGTGGGGTGTGGGGTGGGTGGGGTGGGGGCCCCTCCACCTGCAAGAAGGACCTCCCAAGGTCATAACCTGAGAGGGCGCGAAAACCCTGTAAAGCGATAGGCCCTTTCCCCCAAAAAACTCCAGGCATGCACTTACTCCTCCTGCATTTGGAACAACACACGCGTATCCAAATGATACCAACGACACATTTGTGAAAAACTCTCACATGAGTTCAGCAACGGCGAGTCCAAGTCAGGTCGAGGAGTCACTCAATTGTGGATACAGCGAAGATCTTAAGGATCTTCAGAATTGATCGGAGAGTTGTAAGCCTAAAGCTAGGCGGTGCCCACATCCCAATTGAGTGCTTGACCATCACAACCTGCTCTGCCAGGGCCATCCAGCTTGCCGGCAGAACTGACCTACGCATGTGAGTGCCAGCTGGACAAGCAGGCCTGCATTCTGCTCGGACGGTTGAGAATTGAAGAGGCATCCAATCACTGCGGAACTGTCAATGGCTTACCACGCATGCACACTGCATCAAAGGTTCAAAGGTGAGCAGGCAAAGTAGATCGCGTGATTGCTTGTTGTGAATGCAGGAACCCTGGGACGTCTTGGACACTGCTACAGACCTCTCGGTGCATTTCCTGGTAGTGTCTCTCACCACTGTGATCTACCCGTTTGCCCCGCTTCTGTTCCTGGCGCAGCTTTGGATGAACAGTTCTGGAGGCAAGTGTTGTTTGTGGCAACACAACCTAGCAACTAGGGGGGCTCGACAGTTGTTTCTTGAGGATTGACTGGTCCTTCAAAGCAACTCATAGATGGCGCCAAAGATTCTTTATTCGTCCAGGCTGGCTGGCTGCTTGCTTGCTTGCTTGCTTGCTTGCTTGCTTGCTTGCTTGCTTGCTTGTTTGGTTGGTTGGTTGGTTGCTTGGTTGCTTGGTTGTTTGGCTGGAGTATCCCCAGCATCATCAGCCTTGCTCGGACCTGCAACTGCCTATTGGCTTTGTTTTGGTGGCAGTTGAGAGTTGCTTGGGGCTTGTTTAGGGTGTGTTTTTGGCTTCATTTAGGCCGCCGTTGGGTTTGGGTCGGTTTCGGTTGGCTTGGAGCTGATTTGGCAGTTAAGCCGTGGCTTCAGGGTCCGGCCTGGCCAACCAGGCCTTGCCTCCAAACCCGGAAAGCAGATGTCAGTTTAGATGCACATGGGGGGCCTTGTGTTGAGCTGGGGCTAAACACCGGGCTGGTAAAACGCCTCAACCCTCATACATCCACAGCGTTTTTTCTGCCTCAAAATCACCTGACCAGTCACTCGCACAGTCTTTCACCAGTTCCAGTCTTGTATTACGATGAGGCGTCGCCAAGTGATTGGTGGCGGTGATGGACTTTTTGATGATGGCCGCGGTTGTTTTCCTGGGTTCTTTGCTCTTGGCTTGACTTTGGTCAATGTTGACCCCCAATTTCACCCCATATGAATACCGCCACCACAAAGAACACTTCAGTAGAGGCCGCTCACTACCCCCAAACAACGGACCCGATCCCTGGGTTGAAGTCTCTCTTGTCAGAAAGTGGAACCCCTCATGAAATAATGGGGGGGGGTCCTCAAAAGTGGTTCTCCGTCATCCACTGGCACCCGTTGGTTCCAAAAACTCCAGAAGACATTCGTAAAAAAAGTGAGTCATCCACTGGCACCCGTTTTTCCCCCCCCCCCCCAAAAAAAAATCAAATTCATCCGCTCGCTCGAGGCACCTCCTGGTGGAGTTCCAGATGGATCTCTTCGCGCTGCTGGACCGGCGCCAGCCGAAGCCCAGGGCCTGCAACGGCCTGCCGGAGGCCTGGCTCTCCATCTTCCAGTCCTACGTCTACGTGGGCGCGCCCCTCCGTGCCGAACACATCCCACATCGCGCGATCGAAACGAGAAGGCGGTGAGAAGTGGGCGGTGTTCCTTTTTCTCGGGGAGTTTGCTGGTTTTTGTCGGGTTTTCCTCTTTCTTTCTTTTCTGGGGGCGGTTGGGGGTCTTGAGATGTGTTCCTTGCTTGTTCCGGTTTTGTTACAAGGACAAACTGGAATGTTGTGAGGTTGACGGTTTTTGGGGGATGATCAAAGTCAGAAACCAGGGTTGGTTCCCTTTAACTTTCCACTTAGGGGGCTAGGCACCAAAAGGGTGCCCTCCAAAAGTTGGTTTCGTCATCGACGTCACCTTTTCTGTGGCCCAGCCTGTTTTTTGTTGGATCAGGGGGAACAAGAAGGGCATTTTTTGTGACCCCCCATCATGAGGGAGAAACCAAAGCATTGGGGCTGAAGCTTCCCGAATTTGCTTGTGTTTCCCAGAAGGGCGGCTTGAGTCGGCAATGTTTACAAATGACAAAGGGCATGTGGTTGAGTCACTTTTCAGGGCCCCCCCCAAAAAACTGAAGTTGTCCTTTGGGTTTCCCCGTTGAAGCCGCCCAAACTCGGCGTCAAACAAAGCCCAGCCACGTGAGCTTTTGCGCCAAGAATAGCACCGAACCGCTCCCGAAGGGAGGCATCGATCCATCGGAATCGAGTCCGAGGCTCTTCAATCTGGCCATTGTGACCTGGCGCACCTCCCTGGTGGATGATCTCCTCGGGGAGGAGCGAAAAGCGCCACGAACACGTCCTCTCGAGCGAAGGAAGCCGAGTTTTTGCGTCCAGCGATTCCCAAAATGGCCCCTGCTGCCGTTTGGGGCGTGAAGCTATCCCCAGCAACCCATGTTCATCTATCATTTCCCGGCTGCCAGGGCGCAGGCATGCACGTGGCCTTCTTCAGCACGGCCATGCTGCTACTGGCATCTGGGCATGTTGGCTCATGTCTCTCATGGGATGTGTTTGGTGGCCATATGGCCATGCATAGCCTGTGGGTTTCTCCTTTTTGGGGTGGATGAACATCCATTTGCCACCAATTTTTGATGTTCACCAGGGGTATAGGGTTTTGACCCACAGCCATATAGGCTCCCATGGAGGCAGCGTTTGTGGCGAGGTTCTGGTGGTTGCCGTTGTGCACCTCGTCATCCCGCGGGTGCCCAGCGAAGTCGTGGAACACAAGCAGCGCGAGCGGGAAGTCGAGGCCTTCTTCATGGGCTGCGGGCAGGGAGTAAAAAGGAGCGACTGCGCGACTCCGGCGTGCAAAAAGAGAGAATGGTGGGGTGCCTGTGCATGCGGGGGGGGGGGGGGGGGGGGGGCAACTTCCCGTGTGATTCGGCATAAGCAAGGTTGGTGGCTGAAAGAGCGCATGTCGCTCCCAACTTGGAGCCTGCTCCAAGGTGTCCTGGCTGCACCTGCAGCCGCGGCCCCTGCAGGGCCCTGTCCGCGCCCGTGTGGACATGCCCCGCGACGTGAATAAGGTGTCAGTGATTGGAAGGGCTGCGCCAAAATGGTCCGTAGAGTCATAAAGCCGCGTAGGTCCCCAATAAGGCCATAGTGGGCGCAGGCTGGGGTTGTTTGAAAGATGGAAGACCCCAAGATGGGTGTCCTGTTGGTTTCCCTTGTCAACCACCGCAAACAGCATGCCATAGATAAAACGAAAAGAAAGAAAGAAAAACAACAGGGAAAAAAGGACAGACCCCTGTGGTAGGCATCGGGACGCTCTGATTTTCAGGCTGCGGCGGCTCTCAGACTCGGCGCGGGTTCGCTTGGCCGCCCGCGTGGCGTTGGCTGACAGGGGCGGCGCCTCAGTCGCCCGCGTGGAGGTGGGGAGGGTCCTGCGGTGATCTGTTTTCGCGCGCATGGCAGCAAGCATCTGAGCAACTCTAGTGTTTTTGTTTTGCTGAGACCCTGACCAAAAACTGCATGCCAGCAAATGCATGACGAATGAAAAGGGATATGTGACCGGTCCTGTTGGCACCGGGAAGCATCAACGGGACGACTGTCGCCAGGGCCTCTCCGCTCTGATGCACGCGCTGCAGCGCGATGCTGCAGCCGCAGGGGCAGACTGCACAGCGCTGCTGGAGTTGCGGGAGGAGGCACGCCTTGTGACCGGACTCAGAGCCACTTGCTCAAAACCCGGGTAATTAGATGAAGGTTAGTAATTAAGGGACACTCCCAACCATAAATAGCTGCGGAAATCCGCCTTCTTAATCTTACATGGTTCTGGGCAGACCATTTGAGTACCAGGTTTTGATTGCGACTCAGTCTTGTCCAAAAGCGTTTCTTGGCTACGGAGGTGAGCTCGCGCATCCGCGAGCTTGCTGAGCAAGGCGATGCGAAGGTGCGATATGCTGCGGATAGGGCATTGAGACGCTAAGATGCGGCAATGTGCCTGCAACTGCACGACTTGCCAAGTGCCCGCTTTTCAGTCAATTTTCAATCGAGCAAATACAAAATGGAGTTGGACATGAGAATATGCAAGCCTGGCTAGCAGTAGTGTAGATGTTGCCAATGACTGCAACGTTTAGAAACGTGCCACGCCTGTTTGACGGCTTTTCTGCAGCCGTGACCCCTCCTCATGGCGTTTGCACGGCGAGAGAGATGTGGCTCTGGGTCAAAACCAATAGTACAATTTTGGGGTAGGTGCACCACCCATTTTTGTATATTTGAGTGGGGATTGGGATGTTCACTGGGGGTACGGGCTTTTGACCCATGGCCATGTTTGTATTGCCTGCGGGCGCCTGTGCTACGTGTGCTATGTGCGCCCGTGGCAAAGTGTGGGTTGAAAAGCTTTCGGTGCCGTCAGGCAGACCGAAGGATGCCCCGCTAGCTCTGTGGCGCCAGCGGGGAGCGCTCGCTCGTAGAACAAAAAAGCCTGTTTGACACATGCCACAATCAAAACCCGAGCAGATAAAGGTTGGTAAGGGACAGTCCCAGCCAGAAATAGTTGCGGCCGCCTTCATAATTCTTTACATGGTTCTGGGTAGACCATTTTAATTCCGGGTTTTGATCGTGACTCACATGATGCAGGTATTGTGAGCAAACAGCTGAGGTGCTGTCGCCACTGACTGCGGTCATCAAGGCTGGCGAAAAAACGAAAGGGGCAAACAGGCTTCAGCCCAGATTCAGCCTGACTGTCTATATGGGTGTGGCTCAAAATGAAAGAGCTAGGAACCGCGGGCTTTAGTCTTTGGCTCCATTTACCGTGTCCATTTCGGTCTCCAATTTGTGGCCGCATGACTGGAAGAGAGTCAGAAGAAAGCGAGCTCTCGCTCGCGGGCGAAAGATGGCGAGAGCTCAGGGCGCGCTGCGGAGCCGCTTCACCGAGTTCGACGCGGTCTCGGGCTTCGTGACGCCCGTGGTGCTCCTGGCTCGCGCCTCAGCGCCGGCCGAGCGCCCCGCGCCGGCCGCGAAGTTGGTTCGATGCAGCGGAGTTTTGAGTTCCGAGGCCTCCGCCCTGCTGGCGGTTCACTTTGCCAGCCAAATGGCGGGAGCCTTGAAAAAAAGCGATGAAGTTGAGGTGAGGACATAGAGTTCTTGGCGCATCGTGCTGTTCTGGGTAGGTGTTTAGTTGTTTTTACTTGGTTTAGTGGTGGGGCTTCCCATTTACCCCGCAAGTTAATTAAGCTTTTTGCGTACCAGGAAACGGACCGCCCAGAGTTGTACAGTTGCCCTGGCTTTGGGCGAAGCGCTTGGCCACTCAGGCATATCTTCTGAACCTCCTAGGGCCCGGTCCTTATAGTTGCACCACGTGCTCACCACAAAGCTCTCTGAGGGTGTCGTGGGGAGCGAGCGGTGTGGGTGTGCTTTCCTCCGAGGTCCTTCTTTTGCATGAACATTGCCTTCGTCCTACCAGTGCTGCAGCCTCAGAGCCGTGCCTGGCATTTTCGAACGTGTGGTGAGTTGGGTGGCGATTTGGCGATTTCAAGCAAAGGGGCCCCCAAGGGGGCAACAACTCGCCACGTCGGTCGGGTAGACATGCCACAGTGAGATGCCCCATGTCGCAGGATTTGCTACTGGCGCCTCACCTCGGAGTCGCCAAGCCCAGCAAGGCGAGCAGAAAGGAGTTGAGGAATTCGCCTTGTCCGTTAGATCCTTGCTCACATGGCGGTCGCCCCGCCTGCAAGGTTTTTTTTACGCTCGGACTTTTTCTTTCTTCTTTTTTTTCAGCCGCACATGAACAGAAAGTCGCTCCAGTTTCACGGCTTCCAACCGAGCTGCAATCAAAACCGATTCGGGTAGATGAAGGTCAGTAAGGGACAACCCCCTTGCCAGAAATAGCTGCGGATATCGGCTTTCTTATTTCTTGAAGCATGGTTCTGGGGATCGACGATTTTAATCCCGGGTTTTGATTATGACTCACCTAGCCCCTGACCCCATGGCCTGATTGTGCCCCGGATTTGCCGCACCTGGTGTCCTTTGTTGAGCGTCCCCTCGTTTTGTTTGGCGGTAAGTTGCAAAACACTATTTTTTGTGTTCCCTTGTTTTTTTTAGTTCATCACTACTGGACATTTTTTTTTTTTATGTTTTTCCCGGGGCCTGGACCAAATGGAAGATGCCGGGTTTGGATTTACGACTCACCCGCCATGGGCTCGGCTCCGCTCGCCGCTCACCTGTGTCGACTTGGAGGCAGATGCTCTTCGCACTGCTGGTGGCGATGGGCCTCTCTGGAGCCGCCGGGAGCCAGGTGGAGACGACGTCGGCAGATTGGCCATGTGGCTGTGGTGGTCAAAACCGTTGTGGGATCCCATTTTGGTGGGTAGGTGAATTCACCACCCATTGTAGTCGGGAGTTTAGTGGTTGGATTGGGATGTTTGATCCATGGCCATGTCGACTTGCCACACAGGAAACGAGGAAAATGCACAACACGCAAACATGTTGCTGCATACAAGCTGCAAAGACACCAGACGGGTGCTTTTTTGGCCGGCGTTCGCGCCGGAAAATGAATGTAGGGCCGATCGTGGCTGGAGCTAGGACTCAGAGATGAAGGTTGTTACGATCGCTGAGGTCTTAGGCGTGGTCTCCTGCTTTTGAGCCTAGGCGGGTTGGACAATGGCCAGCGTACAGCTTTGTTGCGCGGAACGTGCAACGGGTGTTGCAATCCACGAGCTGAGTCAAGCAGCTTGCGGATGTGGCTTGCAGGAGGCCGCCAAACATCTCATGCCTCCAAAGTCCTTTCCAGAAATATTGGACCCTGATGTGAGTTTCCGAGCCATGACTCGGACATGGCGAATTTCACGGTGTGCTTCTCAGCTGCTTTTGTGGCTCAATAAGACCTCTTTGCCCACCTGCATGGCAGCAGAGCCGACCGGGGCTTCATACTCTCGGTCATCACCTCGCTGATACTTTTCCCTCTGCGTGGGCGCAGATGAGTGTCTCGGAGAGCAAAAGCTGCAGCAAAATGCCGGAGTGTATTCAATCTTGTCAAGTGTGGTCCTCCTGATCTCGGTGGCCCCGCTTCTTGCTTGAAGACTGATTGCTGGCTGTCTTGACTCATGTGAACGTTTTACCCTGGCTCGCTGCAAATCGATTTATGGCTCAAAAGGTATGGAGCACCTTGGCACCTTGGACATGGAACCAAAGACCAAGACCTGCTCTTTCGCTTGCCCCAGCTCTTTCCAAAAAAATGAGCCACATCCATTCTGAGCTTCGGAAGCGATCTGAGAGTCTCGTGGGCACAGGGGGATGACATGCGATTCCGCGTCTTCTTCCCTGTTGAATGTTTCTCATGCGATTCAGCTTTTTAATGGGTCCGCACCTACAAGAAAGACCTGCCAAGGTCAATCACCTAGCAAATCGTCCGGTTGAGATTTTAAAGAGTTTTCAGTTGGCGGGATTGGCGGGATTTCAAGTTTAACCCACAAGCTAATCAAACTTTTAGCTTTAGCCAGAGATCTGCAAACGGACAGCCCGGTCACTAGGGAAAACCCCCCCCCCCCCCGCGCGCGACAGCAGAGAGCGATGTGACATTCAAACGCGCGTAGCGCACATCGTCCTGGCCATGGGCCTCTTCCGAAAGCTGATGTGCGCCTCAGCAAGCGGTCGGAGCGAGCTTGGGCTCGGGCTTGGGCAAGCGGCTCGTAAGTTTCTCGGTGCTTTCGCCTCCCAGCAGCTTTGGCAGAAAAACGAACCGCCATAGGTGTCCTTTTTGGTTGATTTGGTTCAAAAATAGAGGGCCCTGGTTTACCTGGTGGTTGAATCAACTACCAGTGCCATCTATTTTCTCAAGGACACCTATGTGAACCGCGCCGCGCCTTAGGTCTGGTGGCATTGACGACCAGCGTCCTCTTCTGGCGGCTGGGCACTCCATCGAGTGTGTTCTGTTTTGGAGTCACCGGTGAACGAGAGGGGAAGCGCATCCCAGGCAAGCGGCCTACATGCTGATTCACTGGCAGGGCTCACCGGAACTCATGTGCCAACGCAAGGACGGGGCAGAGAGGAGGGGCTGCCTTAGGCGCTTTAAGGTCCGGCGAAAGTGGCTCCAATCGAACTCGCGGATCCTGGCGTCAGACCGGTTTTCGGTTGACAGGACTCCAAGGGGTTGCACCGCATCTCCCGAGACCTTGCGCACCTTGGGACATGTTTTTTATTTTTATTTTTTTACACTATGGCGCCACCTCCGATGCAGCGGTTATTGGACAAAATCCGATGTGTTATGGAACAGTTATGATGCGATACATGATATTTACGGCGAAGGGACGGAATCTCTTGCACGGCTTTGTGCAGGCAGCCTGCGGGCCTCCAAAGCATCTAGTACAGAGAACTTGACGACAAAGAAACAATTCGGGAGACTTCCAAAGACATAGTTTGCCACAACGCATTCCGGCTGAGAGCAACGTATTCATTTTGCGCCACTCGTGCACTCTGATATGGATAAAGACGTATTGTGTTCCAGATTCTGGAAAACCAACACAGAGATGCCAATGGGGCTTGCAAACCTTGTTAAAGTTATTGTAAGAGTTGGGACATATTTGGCTCGGGTGGTAGAAGCACACCTGAGGCACTTCTTTAGATCTCGGCAGCTGTTAGCGCACCCCTGGGTGCTAACAATGGTGGCAGCGCTGAGGCCATGAAGCCTGTCGCTTATGCTTTCGGCATGCCTGAAGGTCTTGCCAGTTTCCTTGAGGTGCTACTGTGGATGGACGAATCCTGCACCACTTTGAAAAACCATGGGAAACCATTGCTTGTTGGTGTTTACAGGGGAATCATCACTCCAGGGTCTCTTAGGTGGTGTAAAATTGCGTCCATCCACAGTATGTGGTATGTGTGGTCGACTTCTTTTGTTGCCATCTGACATGCAAACCATTGCTTGGGTGCTTCACTCTTTGAGCAACCCCGCTTCAGATATGGCGCCAATAGCGTGGAGATTGGCGGCGGCATGCATACAATGGACCATGATATTGACCTTCGCTGCTTGGCATTTGGGGGGGGGTCTGGGGAAGGCTCTCCTTTGCAGCCCTTCCGGGGTTCCGCGAGGCTTGTTTTTTTGGGGTCTGTCTTCTTTTGGAGTTGGTACCAACTCGTCCTGCTCTTCTTCCTGTTTTTCCCGGAATCCCCGAGGAAACCGCCTGTTTTTGGGAATCCGCAAGGAAGCCACCTATTGTTGGGGTTCCCTTTTGAGACCAGCCCCTTGTCTCTTCTTTTTGTTGAAAGAATCCGAGGCCTGGTGATGCCGGGCAACGAGAGCTTCCATGAGCTCATGGAGCAACTGGAGCTGAGCATGCGACAAGCTGGGCATTGGGCCAAGGCGAAAGGGGGGGAGGGGGGCGTGGGGGGGAAGGGGCAGAGGGGGGGGGGGTGTGGGGGGGAAGGGGCAGAGGGGGGGCAGGGGGGGTATGGCGAACACTCAGGGTCTATTTTGCAACCTCCTTCTTTTAGGGTATTGGTTTTTTAAGGGTATGGTTGCAACGGGGGGGGCAGGGGGGGATCTCAAGACATCCCGTACAAGGCCTCCAGTTATGGGTCAACATTCAACCACCAGCAGATTGCAGGTGTTTAGTCCGTTGCATTTACCTGGGTTCCAGCCTGGGCACCAATTTTTGACCAGCCAAATGAGCATGGCTAGCTTTTCCCATTGGAGAGATCATGGTTTTAGTGGTTTCCCAATGGTCGTCCCATGTAAAGGACCTTTTGATCGACCGCCAGATGGGTGGCTTGGTCTGTTCACAAGGGATATTTCAGGTCTGGGAGCCTTTCGTGTGCAAATGGCTTGAACGTGACGGAACGATTCATTATGCATCTCCCATTGTGATGATGATGATGATGATGATGATGATGATGATGATGATGATGATGATGATGATGATGATGCGGAAAACAAGGCAATGGCTCTTCTGACTTGTCCTTGCTCACAGAAAGTGGTTCCAAGCAAGCCTCTGCCAGGCATTCCCTTGTCAATGTGGCTGGCCTATCGCTGCTCGGTCGAGAAGGTGAGGCAGCTGAAGGTTCTCCCGCCTTCGCGCTTGCTCAGGTCTTCGGTCCATTCCCCTGCCTCATCATCTTTGGAACCCCAACGGCAGCTGGCTGGATGCAGGCCGGTCCTGCCTTTTTGTTTCGTGGTTTAAAGGGAAACCAACAGGAAAACCATATTTGTTGGTGTCCATTAAAAAAAATAGACGCACCCTGTTGGAGCCAAGCGCTGGTCGCCGGTCGCCCTTTTTGTCGCTTCCCAGGCGACATCCTTCTTCCCCAACACGGCGCCCGGCATAGCGACAAGTAGCCTCAAGGGGACGCAGAAGCGCCTGGCTGCACAGGTGGTGGCAGCCGTGTCCAAGGCACGGAGCGGAGGACGCCTTTTAGGGTTCATCGGTGTCCTTTTTTGGTTAGTTTGGTTATAGATGGCACTGGTTTAGATGGGGTGTATTCCATTTACCATGGCCATCTATTTTCCAAAAGGCCACCCATGTTAGGGTTCCACTCGCAGCGTCCTTTTTGAACAGGAACTCAATCGCGTTCCGAGAATTGCGGTGTGTGTGTCGTCCAATGGCCCAAAGAGGTAGCCTCGAGTATGGCACTCACAAACAGCAGCAGAGTGATCTCTGCAAATTGAGCCCTGATAGATACTGGGCATCCTGGCAGCGCCGCTGTGGTCCATGGTGATGGTAGTGGATCTGCACGTGAGCACGGTGGAGCCAACAGCTCCAGCAGGTCCGTTTGCGCCTTTTGCCACTGACATCTTTTTATCGGCCTTGAATACAAAGGTTTTGTTTGCCTCAGGGTGCCAGAAGAAGAAAAGGAATTGGCGTGGCTGGGTTGGATGGCTTCACTGCTCCGTCCATGTCTTGTTTCGGGGACGCCGACCCAACGGACGGTTTCCGGTTTCGGCGCTCCGGCGCCGATCCGTCGCAGGCGCCGATCCCTTGGCGCGGATGCTTTGGGCGGGCCAGGAGTGGCCCTTCCCCAGACAGGGCGCCGAGGTGCTCCGCGGCCCGGCGGGAGTCGGGTTCGCTGAAGCTGGGGGGTGGTCGTTTTGCAGGTTGCACTTGTATTTGTTTTTTTGGGAGGGGGGGCCTTGACGGTTCAAAGGGACAGCTTCTTCTTTTTTGTTGGGTGGGGTGGGTGGCTTTAGACGTTGAAAGGGAGATCAAAAGGACGGCCACCATTTCTAGTGTCTTTGGGGTACCCCATGTTTGGCGGTTTCTAAGGGAAGCCAGAAGGCAAAACACACTCTTTTTTTTTGGGGGGGGGCGGGGGGTCCTCCGTTTCTGTTTTTGCTTTCCGGAGCGCCGCCCAGGCTCAATCTTCACGTCGTATTTGCCCAGATTGAGCAATGTTGATCGCGGCGAGCAAATCCGTGGACAGGTGGGGCGAATCAAGACAGTCATGTGGGATACAAAGAGCTGTGGTTCAAACATTGGGGCAAGTGGGCCGTTGTCTGTGTGCTGAACTTAAGTCTGCATCTTCCTTCTCATGCTCATGTGAATCTTGTAAATTGTGTTGTTTTTGGTTTGCAGTCTTCCTTGCATCCTTCAGGCTTTCCTCCATTTCCCTGTTTGGGTTACCTCCAAAAGTGACAGTTTCGTTTCAATGTGTCATCCACCAGCAAGTTCCATGCAGCTGTTGATCTTTTCTTCCAGCGACCCCTGTCCAAGATGGAGTTTGTTCCTTTTAAAGCAAAGCACTTCATGGACACGAAGACCAGCCAGCTGTTGACCCCACATATCACCCTGGGACCCCCCCGATAAATAGACTGGGGTTGATTGATATGGGGTCAACAACATGGTTCCAGGGCTCGGTTTTCCTTTTGCCGTCCAACCTCATCCAAAAGGAAAAATAAAAACCACATGGGACCCGGCCCCAAAACAAAAGGACGAGAGCCAGCCACCCCACACAGCCCTGCCGCCGCCTCTGAACCCGGTTTTTGTCGTTTCGTGTCGCAGCTGCTGGGCTTCTGCGACTTCTACCGTCCCAAGGGCGTCTGGGCCGAAGACCTCGCCTCCTCCGCCGCGGCGGACGAGGCGGCGCGCGCCTGCGGGCCCCTCGTCATTTGAGCGTTCGAGGTTGTGAAACGGGTCCCTTTCTTTTTTTGGGGGCGGGGGTTCCAGGGAAACCCAAAGCGAAACCGAGCTCCGTTTTTTTTTTTGGCGGGGGGGTTCAAGGGAAACCAAAAGCGAAAGCCGAGATCCATATTGGGGTACCACCTTGAGAAAGGCACACCCACATGGGAAGGGGCGGGGGCGGGAGGGGGGGGGGTTTTAGTATCTACCACCTTGAGCATGGAGTTTATGAAGTGAGGGTTGGGGTTGCCGAGTCCTTTGCAGGGCAATCAAGTGGCACAGCTTTGCCTGCCCACAAAAAAACAAAACGTCTTCTCAACACATTAAGGTCGGCTTTGCATGCGGAGGGCTTCTTCTCGTTTTGGGAGTTGTGCGAGACGCCGGGCAAGGACAGAGCAAGAGCTTGATGATGAAGCAATTGATCACAACATGCTCATTCCGTGTTGCAGTCAGAATTCAGTTGATCTCAATATCTGACATATGATGCCGCTCTGTTGCCACTTGGCATGCTTGGAATGAGCCAGCATTGACCTCAAGTGCCATCCCTTTCGGTACGTACAGCAATCAGTTCTATGCACACTGGACAGACGAAATCCTGCAGCACCCAAGAAACCGATGACTGGAAATGCCAACGAACCATGGCTGAGGAGCCCTTCGGATTCCCCACATCCCCCCCCCCAATCGTTCAGCTTGGACAGCATCAGCCGGAGTCAGGAGCCAAAGGAGCTCCCGAGCTGGCCCGAAGAGTTTGGGCTTCGGGACATGACTCAGTGCCAAAAAGCCGCCGGCCACGCTCTACCGGGGACAAAGGCCCCCGACCCCAACTCGGCCGAGGTTTCTTCATATGTTGTCCGCGACAAGACATGTTGGTCGTGGGTTCTCGGCCTTGGGATGGTTTTGACAGACAATGCGTTTCTGCCTCACATCGCGATGTTGCTGTGGGCAGTTGGTTATCCATCCAGCATGTATCATGTTTTGTTGGTGTGTTGTACATGCAGGGACACGGCAGTACTTGATCAGGGCACCCTCAAAGTACTGGATGCGTGCAAGTACGCGCTAAAGCTTATTGTGGTACTGCATTTGACTCTGACATAGCCATGGGGATTCAAGATATTCAAAGAGGCATGTATATGATATGGTACGGAGGTGTTAAAACAATGTCAGTTGTTTTCTCTCGGCACAAAAGAGAAGTCAATCACCGCCGTTGTAGTTGGGCCTTTGGTCTCTAACTGGTGTGAGAGTTTTATGTCTTCCGAGATGCTCGACTCCCATCGCGGCAAAATCTAGAGCACGGTTGTCAGTTTATGGTTGTTGTGGGGACACATTTTACATGTTTGCTTATTGTGGTTTAGTGGGAAATCCCCACTTAACTGCTAAAATTTGTTTTTTTTCTCCCCTTCCAACGTCAACCAAGAGTTGCGCATAGCCTCCGCAGATCTGAAGAGGAACACTAGTCACTAGAAGTGGGATGTTAACTTCGAGCTTGGTTCAGACCGTTCGGTGCGCCTGCCGCTACGGAGTTGAGAAACGCTTTAAAAGTGGTTGTAGAGGCCAGCCCGGAAATGTCCAAGTGTACAAGGGAGCAAGGCTGCGCTTGCATCTGCAGTTGCTCTTGCCCGCTCACTCATGTCACCTTCACAACCGGCACACTTCACAACTGACGGCACTTGAAAGCATCGGCCTTCAACTTGCGGCTCGCACACTGAAAAGCCACCCTCCATGGATTGAGCGTAACTGCACCACTCTTGTGGCAAAGTTGAGTTAAAGTCAGCGTAGCCATGGTTCATTCTGATTCATTCTGCCTGAAGCGCCCCACCCCGGCCACTTCGCCACGCAGTTTAGCTCGTGCCACTTCGGGGCCAGCGAACAATAACCAACAGTTCTGACTGTCTACGCAGGTAGCCAAAGCTAAGTCGCATAGCACAACCACAGAGACACCCAGCTGGAGTCAAGAATTGCTTCACTCTCGTTGATTTGGTTTTGGATGTGTAGGTTGTCCTGAGGCCAAAAGAAGCCACAGCAAAACCGGAAGAACTTGAAACACTAGCGTCAGTGTTTCTTGGAGTGTCCATCTCTGGAGGCAGCCACCAGCAACAGGGCGATGAAGTTTGAGCTTGGTTCAGACCCGCGTCCTTTCTGATGATGCTGGCTTCATCTCAGCTTTGCGCCTATGCGGCTGTGTTTGTTTTCACACAGCCTTCAAACATGAGTGGGCATCAAATACCTGGAGTGAAGGTGAGCTTAAGCCAAAGGTTGCATGCAAACGTCACGTGAAGCACCGTCAAAGTTACTTCTGTTGAGTTTAGTATTTCGCCTTTCATTGATGTTGTGGAAATGGACAAAGCCATGGCAAACTTACTTGTGTACTTCCTTTCTTACAAACTTTCTTCTTCCTGCTGCTCTTCTTCTATTCCCAGACAGTACCTGTATAGTGAGAAGTGTCGGAAAACGGAAAATGCTGGAAAACGATCGGGGACTCTCAAACTAAGTGGCGAAATGGCCGCAAGTAAGTAGTTTCGACTGTGCCTCACGTGGCTCAAAGCCTCAAGCCCGAGCCCGTGATGCAGATGCTTTATGCAGGCCCAAGGAAAGGCGGGCAATCCCTGTGACTTTTGGGCGAAACAAGATCTGAGCCTGACACGAAAAAATACTCAGCAGCCTGCACTCCAACCTTTGCTCAGAACAGCGACTGGCTGTTTCACCTGAAAAGTCATAGTTCACTTAATTTGATTTTCCTTAGCCTGAATAGGCTGACTAAAGTCGAGCAAATACGCCAGCAGACTGAGAAAGATCACAATCAGACATACTTTTGCCCCCATGCCAGAGATTTCCACGCCATGTTCGCCGCTTGGATGGTTCGGGTTTCTTGCTTCAGACGTCCCAGGGCAAGGGACCGCAGCGCCACCGCGTGGTCAAATGTCAGGGACTCGCCCCTTTTTTGGTTGGGAGGGTTCCCCTAAGATAGACTACAGAAAAAAGGGTACCCGGTACTCGGTACATTCTAACCTCTCAAATCTGGAGGACCTAGATGAGCCTGGCCCCATGATCAGTCGCTTCTGTCACCGGCTTCTGTCAGCCAATCAGCCTGGCCTTTTTGGCATTGGGCTGTCCAGATCAATCTGTAGGCCATGTTGCTCTTTTGTATCCTCAACAGTACCAAGGGCAAAGCGATAAATCTGTGTATATCTCCTTTCAGGGTGCTTCTTTGGGGGTTGAAAGATAAACCGAAGGAAAGTCAGCAATTTCGGGGGTTCCCCTTGACACAAACCTCCTCTATATGACCATAATTCAAAAACCAATGGTACCATTTTGGGATAGGTGCACTACCCATTTTACGCTATTTTGCTGGTTGGATTGGGATGTTCACAAGACGCCAGTCGGCCTCGTGCCGAGGACTGGTGCGAAAGCCATGAGAAGCTGCAGCCCGTGCTGGAGGCGCGGGTCGCTCGTGTCGGTGTGTGGTTTTGGAATCCATTTCGGTTTGGCCTTCAACCTATGGATCCGGTGTTTTTTCCCCAGTTTTTTTTTTTTTTTTTTTTTTTAAACTAGGGCCTTCAACCTATCCCTCAATCTACGTACCGTACAATGGTTTTTAGACCTTTCTGGTTTGTCTCGTTTTGGGGCTGGGGGCAGTATCTGAGGCTTTTTAGAATGCCCATTCTGCTCGCCAGGCAGCCCTTGGTTTCGCGCAGCAGGACTGCTTGACCGTGTCGCTTTAGCCCTGTTGAAGCCTTTTGGCCATCGCTGAGAGTCAAGAGGCAAACACTTGTCACATCTTCATGCCTGTTAGGAGGACGAGCAACTTCGTGTGTCTGGGCCCCCAGCCACGAATCGCGCACATCTCTGCTGCTTCCAGTGTGTGTCTGTGTGTGTGTCTTGCGAATTTGGAATTCCGCGCTTCTCGCCGCGCTTCTCGTGCCAAAAAGTTTCGCATCCCAGTGTTGCTCGGCGCAACGGGAGCGAGGCTGGACGTGGGCTGCGGCACCTCCACGCTGGCGCTGGCGCTTTGGGACCAGGGCCGCCGCAGGCGGATGGGGATGGGGAGAAAGGGAGGGGCGGTGGCTGCGGCAGGCGGTAGATGGCGCAAGAAGGACGGCCACGATGTCGACGTTTTCGTGCGAACCCAGTCTTTTGCTCTTGTGCCACTGGAGCTCCGAACTGCCAGCTCAGACCGCTTTTGCAGACTTGGGAGCCAGTTGCTGTCAGGGTGCACGCCGTGGATGTCGATGGAGCTTGGCGCCCGGCTTTCGCGTTTCGCAACCCGTGGCTTCCATGAATTGGCCGAGAGCCGGCCGGGCGCTCGGGCGCTCGGGCGCGCCAGCGCCATGAGCCGGAAGCTGGGACTCTCCAAGTGAGGCAGTTATACGACAGATGGCCTCGTCGCACTCAGCTGAAGGACCGGGAGAAAATGAGGCTGCCAGCTTGAAGTTCGAAGTGTTGGGATCACATTGACATGTTGCTCGTGTCTTCCTGCACGAGGCAGGCCTTTGCCAAAGAGGATCTCGTGTTGTTCAGTTTTGTTTTCGAGCACTGGATGTGGAACATGGTCATGGTGAGTTGTAAGGCAAGACTAAGAGATTTCTTGGGTGTTTGGCTGCTGGCACGCCTGTGAAACCACGAGAGGAGTTGATGCGGACTTGTAGTGTGACACAGATCAACACCGGAGTTGTAGATAGATTCCGAAGCTTCCAAGCCAAGACTTGCGCGGAGCCAGGATTGACCTTCGAGGAAGTTGATGTGACCAGGCACGGAGCTGATGGCAAGCTTCAACTTGGGGTGGTGTTCGGTGGAGGGAAGGTGGTCGTTTTTGAACGCGTGTTTTGGCTCGTTTTTGAACGCGTGTTTTGGCTCGTTTTTGAACGCGGTTTTCCTCAAGTGTATGTGATTTACAGCAGCACGGCCATTTTTCCAAGTGTCCATGCACACCACGATGAGGCGCACGAACACGCACCACGATGCACGTGTAGCACATGGATGGCGCCGTGCTTTTGGGAGACAATCGTCAACTGTAGACCCGGGAGCACAAAGCACAAGGAACGCAAAGCGACATCATCATTGTCATCATCATCATCATTATCATCAACATCGACATCGTCAACATCATCATCATCATCACCATCATCATCACCATCATCATCATCAACATCGTCATCAACATCGTCATCATCACTACCAGCAACATCACCTTCATCCACATCAACACCAACATCATCATCGCCATCATCAACATCACCACCAACATCCATATCATCATTATCATCATCAACAACACCATCAACATGACCATCATCACCATCATTATCACCATCATCACCATCATCATCATCAACAACATCAACATCGTCAACATCGTCAACATCGTCAACATCAACATCATCACCATCATCATCATTAACAACATCATCACCATTATCAACATCAACGTCGACATCACCATCATCATCAACAACATCATCAGCATCATCAACATCGTCATCATCATCATCATCATCATGACCATCATCAACACCGTCATCATCACTACCAACAACACCACCATCACAACCAGCGCGCAGTCGCACGGTCACGCAGTAAGAGGCGAACGTAACTGCCCCACCCCATCCCCCCCCCCCCCCAGCCGCAGGACGCAGTCGCACGGTCAGGCAGCAAGAAGCAAACGCAACTGCCCCACCCCACCCCCCACCCAGCCCCAATACGCAGTTGCGCCGCCACGCAGTAAGCGGCGATCGCAATTCCAGGAGGCTCCGATTCGCAAGTTACTTAGGCCGTATGAGCTAAGGAGGTTTTTGTGTCGCGAGGACAAGATAACTCAGAGCTTGAAATTTCACGAGTTTTCACGGCTTTTTCACGGAGTAGTAACGGCCTTTCAGTTTCCCGCGCGAGTTATTACGGCCGTTAGGCCGAGTTTTCACGGCTTTACGGGGGCCAACAAGCGCAAATCGCCGAGGACATCTGAGCTCAAAAAGCCAAGGTAACTTGGGACTCGGGGCCCCCTTTTCCCAGCCCCAGGGCGCAGTTGCACGGGCACGCAGTAAGAGGCGAACGTAACTGCCCCGCCCCACCCCCCCCAGCCCCAATACGTCCACCGTCACACAGTCAGCAGCGATCGCAATTACCCCCTTTTCCCAGCCCCAGGATGCAGCCGCACGGTCACGCAGTAAGAGGCGAACGGAACTGCCCCACCCCACCCCCACCCCCACCCCCAGGACGCAGTGGCACGGTCACGCAGTAAGAGGCAAACGTAACTGCCCCACCTGCCGCAGGATAGCCCCCCATGTGTTCGAAAATGACCCACTCTGTGTTCGAAAATGATCCAGGACATCGGTGTTCAAAAATGATCCAAAATCGGTGTTCGAAAATGATCCCCCTCCCATCGGTGGACGCCATAGGTTCCAATGGAGCAAGAAACACATATTAGATAATTTGTTGCAGGCAGTCCCTGGGCGAGCACTGCTTTGACTTAGCAAGGGCCACAGCATTGAAGGCAGGATGTGCAAAGAACCGGCATTGAAGCTGCATCAATGTACCTCAGGCCATAGACAAGGGCACCATGGACTACCTGCTTTGCATCGAGCCTGGCTCCTGGGGTAGACTTAGGATACATTTTACATTTTACCTGTGACTCAAAGTGAAGCAAACAATGAAATATACATTCTATAACTGGTCCCCACTCCAATCATGGCCAGATATGGGTGCCAAAATCCTGACCCCCGACCCGGCCCTTCTCCTTGTGACGCCCAGGATCCAGCCAGCTCTAGCGGCATTGGCAGCAGTGCGCCGTGCTCTGCGAGAAGGGGGCGTTTTGCCGGAGCGCCCGGACGATGAGTTGCGACAGTCAAGGTCCCAGGGTGATGAATTCAAATGAGCCACAATCAAAACCAGGGTAGATGAAGGTTAGTAAGGGACCATCCTGTACATGGTTCTGGGTAGACCATTTTAGTACCAGGTTTTGATTGCGACTCAAATGTGCTCCCTTGTTTGCACATCGCATTTTGCCGCCCAAGGATGCTTAAAAAGGTGCTTAAGGCATATCGCGTGTGCAATCTGAGGCTCCTGGTGTCCATCCATCCCGTGGACTTGTGGAAGGCGGTGGAAACGTTTGCACGGAGACCTGAACCGAGTCACTTGCATGCCCTGTGGCGTAGAGCAGGATCTCTAGGACTGCTTGTAAACCTACTTCTATTGCACAGCCTTTGCCAAAGCTAGGAGCTCCGCCCAAGATGGGGCCCAGTGAAAGCAACCCCATGCTTCGGTTTGTCCGGTAGGCCAAACCTGAAGCTTGACTCAGGAATTGGTCGAAGGCTCAACTTGTTACTGTGACTCTGACGTGTTGCATCTGCATCCGCAGCTCTTCAGCCACGGGGGGACCCTGTGGCAACCATGCTGCCCACGTACCTCGGCCCCTGGGCCGCATCGGCGCCCGATGCCCATCTCGCCGTGCCCAGCCGGCCGGCCAAAGCCAGGCGCGCCCGGCGCGCGGTGACACAGCCGGAGCGCCACATGGCCATGGGTCCAAGCCCAAATTGGTTAGCCCCCAGTGAACATCCGATTCAATCCAACCACTAAAATAAGTTCTAAAATGGGTGGTGCACCCACCCCAAAATGGAATACCATTGGTTTTGACCCACAGCCACATGTCGAGCGGGTGCTTGGGGGAGCGCATGCATTGGATACTTCGTGGCTTCTTAGGCACGGTACCTTGCATTTCATGTGGCTGTGGGAAGAAATTAGATACCCGAAATAATGGAAACATGGACTAAAACCTGCGGTCCCTTGGTGGTTTAGTTTTGACCCAGACCCATGTGGCTTCCGTGGTTCTGCTCGGTTGCAAGGATCCGACTTTACAGACAAAGTGTGGCTCCCGTTTTGCCCTTTTAGCGCAGGGTGTCTTTCAAGCGAGCCGTCATTCTGGTATGTCCGAGAAACTGGACCATTGTATCCTAGCACCAGCTCCAATTGCCAATCGTCGCCTTTTCAAGTTCTATCTGCGGGTAACCTGTGGACCATAGGTGTCCTTTTTGGTTGTTTTGCTAGAAAAATAGACGGCCTTGGTTTACCTGGTGGTTTAATCATCTACCAGGGCCATCAATTTCCCCTAAAAGGACACCTATGCTGTGGACCCTCCAAAATCCAAAATGGCTGGACATACAATTCCCAGGCATAGGTGTCCTTTTCATCGGTGAGCCTGGTTAAAAATAGATGAGTTCCATGGGTTTTGTTCCGTTTACCAGGGAAACCCATCTATTTTCCCAAAAGGCCACCTATGTTTTCAACATGCTTCAAGTGACGAGCTTCATCTCATCCGGCTGCTTGCCTGCAAGGGCTCTTGGCCTGCCTGGCGCAGCTCCTGCGCTGGCAGCTGCCTTGGCCGGGGCTGTGGCTTGCAGGCGAAAGGCCCCGTCGGGGTGGGGTGAACAGAAAAGTGAAGCAGATGTGTTGCAGTGCACAGTTGTGTCTTGTCCTGATGGTCATTTGATGATCTGTTTGTTGCAGGTAGCGATGCGACTCTCCTCCTCTGAGCTTCGTGAGAGTGCAAAGCAGCCGCTTGCCTTTGCACCAGAGATGGGACCGATGCTCAAGAGCAGGGGCTGTCCGCAGGCAATGGGTCGACTGGAGTTGGCTCTCGGCTTGCTGGCTTGACACTTGGCTTGAGGAACCTTCTGAACAACTACGGCGAGCGGCAAATGATCTTCCAAGAGGGTCGAGGCCACATCTTGCAGGAGACGCGTTACACGTGCAGCAACGGCAAGACACCATACTGCTTTTGCCTTAAACCCACAGAGAGGCGAGGCCACGGCATGCCCAAATGGCCATGGTTCAAAACCAATGGTATTCCATTTTGGGATAGGTGCACCACCCATTTTAGAGCAAATTTAAGTGGTTGGATTGAATCGGATGTTCACTGGAGGCTATCCGATTTGGGTTTTGACCCATGGCCAAACGCCGGCTCCAGGACAACGATGGCAAGGAGTACCTGGACTTCACCGCGGGCATCGCGGTGAATTGCCTGGGCCACAGCGATGAGGGCTGGGTGGAGACCGTGGCGAAGCAGGCGGCCAAGCTCTGCCACACTTCCAACCTCTTTCTGCCGCTCGGAGTAGATGGGTGCGGGTCAAAGTTCAACCACCAGGATGTGGACCACAGGTTGTACTCCTTGGCTCATCTTGGTTCCATTTACCAGGGTTCCATTTTGGGTACCCATCTTTGACCCGCATCCAGATTTAGTCGAGCACGGAGAGATGGTGCGGGCTCTCGTCAAGCTTGGCGTTCACTTGTGCAGATGTCTCGTTCATGCGGATGTGTAATTCACTTCAAAGCGGACTTGAGCTTTGTCTCAGGAACGAGGAGCAGGTCCTTCTTGGCCAGCGGCTTTGCGAGCTGTCTTTTGCTGACAAGGTGCAGAGTCGTACCGTAAAGAAACGAAGCGGTCGAGCCGCAAGCCCAGATA